GTTAGCTGTGTGGTTCTGTTAGCACCATGGTACTGTTAGCAGTGTGGTTCTGTTAGCACCATGGTACTGTTAGCAGTGTGGTTCTGTTAGCATAGCCTATTCAGTGCAGGATAATTTCTCACCCTACAAGTTGTTTAGCATGGTCCGCTTCTCTCACACATCCTCTTCACCGATCCATTTATTCCATATTTATTCCAAATGTCTTCAATATTTTGGTAAATGTAAGGTTGGAGAACTAAGCTTCATTACTTTATTATTAGTAGGTCTGAGAGTCACCAAATCCAAGCAAACAGTTACTGGAACGTACCCTGTCAAAACAAGAGAGTTCTTGGTTCCTGTTCTGGCAGGATCTGGCTCAAATTAAGCTCTGGAATAGATAATGGGTGGGAGTGTCAGCATAGAGAAGCAAGGAAATATACAAGGAGCAGGGTTTTATTGGCTTTAAATGAAAGAAGCAGGATCTTGTAGATGATGTAATATTTGATGGAGTTCCAATGAACGTTTCTCACTTGAAGGAACTGGTCCAGATGACACAATTTAACCTTTATTGTTGAGCGCCACTGAAGTTGCTGTAGGTCTGGTGGTGTATGGTTGATGAAGGAGGTTCTTGTTATAACATAGCAGCAGCGTTTTGACCTAGCTGAAGTTTATGAAGGAGCTTGTGAGGTACGTCTCAATATGCTGAAGGTGTTACAGTCCGAACAGGAACGGGAGAAAGTATAAAAACGGAAAACACCATTGACTCAGCATTCATTCCATTTATACTATATCTCCCACAGCTATTGGTCTTGCCATGAAGAAGCAATCCGACGTGCTAGTTGTCTTGCCTTTGCAGTTTTTTCTGGAACCGGGGGTGATATTTTGCGTATTGGAGCAGTCTCGCTCTCGTGCTTTTGAGTCACCTCATCAAAAACTTGGTCCGCTTCATCTGACAGAGTGACAGGTTGGAGGAACACAGTGCACAACTCTTCAGGAGTCATCACAGGCAGAGCCTTCCCCAGGGATCTGAGAAAGGTGGGTTCGGAGTGGTGACGTTGAGACGGTTTGGCTCTGATGGCCGGTTTTGGTTTGAATGAAGGCTCTGGCTTTGGAGAGCTTGGAGTTTGGACCTCAGAGAGAAAGATTTGTAAAGACAGCCTTTTATTACGCTCACAGGATAAACCAGAGCTGGACTTTGGTCGTAACTTCCAGCCAAGTGGATCACTGCCAGTGATGATGGAAGTCGGGACAGAAGGAGGTGAGGAACAGAAGGAGGTAGCAGAGGAAGGCGATGGACTGATGATCTCAATGGAGGGGCACGAGGGCTGCTTGAAAGAGAAAAGTGATGCTGGTTGGGGCTGCAGCAGGGAGACACTTCGCTGTGGAGGTTGTGGTTTCTTCATGGGTTTCTTCACAATAATTAAAGACGAGGTTCCGTATTCACAGAAGTCAACAGTCCACCGCCGCTGGTGGGTCCTGGTCCAAATACAAGCTGCTGCTGAAGGCTCCTCTTTATGGTTCTGGATGTGTGCTGGGACATTCAGTGGTCTTTGACTATCATTGCTGAGAGTGTTCTGCACTCTGATAGTCACAGAAGCGTAATCTTCCACTTTTTTACCCATCTGCTCACACTTATCACAGTGACTACCAGCAGGAACTGGATCCAAAGAGCCATTGACAGCAGAGGAGCATTCACTCATCATTTGCTGTGGGTCAGAAACAGACAGACAACAGGAAGATTAAACTCTGTAAAGAAATGCTTGTCGCCTGCTGCCTTTCAACGCTAGTGTTTTAGATCATTGTGTGTACATGATCGAGTTAGAGCTGTTGACCAAAATATATAAATGCCATTATGTGTGATCTCATCTGATCTGGTTGTGCTTGAAGTATGTGTTGAGGATGACCCTTTTTTTTTATTTTAATTTTTTTTATTAATTTTTATACGTTTCATTTAAAAACATGACAATTAAAAAAACTAAACACAAGGTATATATA